AATGTTTGTGTGCATACTTCGCGCAGATCATGTACTAATCTCATATTATTAATAAATAGGTTACGGTGGAAAATATTTTTTGTTCGCTATATTCTCTCCACAGACCTTCCAGATTATCCATGGCCAGCGTGTCATGTTGCAGAAGGTCATTATTTGGAAGTCGGGGAAACTATAGTTATCACATGTCAAGCAACAGATGGTAATCCAAATCCTTCTTTGACATGGTTTAATGGTATTAACCCTATGGATATATGTAATGTGGAATATATTGGTGAACCAACAGTTACAACTAGTACATGCGAATGGATATTAAAATCAGAAGACAATGGACAAATTTATATATGCAATAGTACACATGATGCAACAGACGAAATCACATCATGTAACACTGGGTATCTGGATGTAAAATGCAAGTGCGCCTTTTAGTAATTTTGAGATTAAATACATCTATGAGAGGATAACTGTTTAAAAAGTCGGGAGCAAAATAGGATTATTTCAATATCTAATAAATCAAATTATTTTATCCCGCAAAAGTTGCATGATGAATATGGAAAAGGTGTTCACTATTTTTATTGCACATTTGTTGCAGATTCTCCATTCATAGTGAACGTCGATCTGAAAAGGTATCAACAGAAAAATGACAAAGAGATTGCACAACTAACATGTCAAGTAAGCAGTAATCCAGCTGCAAATATAACGTGGTTTAATTCTTTTTTTGATCCAATTATCAATACAACCAAAACACAAATATTAGACTGGACGGTCGACACTAACACTACAAGCATGTTGACAATCTATGATGTAACTGAAATGGACTATGGAGAATACATATGCTATGCGACCAATGTTATTGGAGACATTGAATTGATTATAATATTAGATGGACCACCAGATCAGGGTAGGCTTGTTTTGAGTGATAAAATGTAAATCAGATTATCAACTTACGTAAAGAGCGTGCATATTACAATGATATTTGGATATTTATTACATATAAATATATTTATATAGTAAGTTTGTTTGTCTAACCGTGAGTTGTATTATCTAAACTGCGTTTAATCTGTATTTAGATCACGTTCTAGCTTTATTTATCGTCCTTTTTTGTGTTTCGATGGCTATCACTTGCATCGTATACGTATGGATCTGTCGTAAATGTGGTATGTGCCAGTGTCATAGAGGTCAGTTCACAATTTACACATGCTAATATATAGTATATATCCCTTTTTTGATAGCCCACGATTTAGAGATTTTTTTCAATTTCTTCATTAGTAACTGGTTAATACTTATTAGTAAATATGAAGTGCGCTAGTTTCTATTTACTGAAAACAGTCTCATTAATGACGAGCGCGTACATTGATATTTACATTAATTTAAATATATTGTTATTGACACACGTTTACAATTAAACGCCAGTAGTGAACATCAAGTTGTTTCTCATGTAGGTAGTACAACTTACTACATAGCGTGTATTATCTCTTGCAGATAGAAACACAGTGACATATAACCGACCGGCATGTAACCAGTCAGCACCTGCTAATGTAAGGTATGGACGATTATTCTTCAATTATTCCTTTTACATTGCTAGGTGTGCATCACCAGATCGAACATCTTCTTAATCTTGCATTAAGATAATTGTAATAATATGAACTTATATGCAGAGGCGATTTGTAAATTAAATATACGTTTACTAATTTAAAGCATATCCATTTGTGTTTCAACCACAGAAAGTTACATGAAATAACACGTCATCAAAAGAAGCAAGATATAAATGACGATGCATTTATGATGAAAGAATTCAATGTGTATCAAGGTATTTGGTTTACTGTTATAATAGTTTTGCATTTAAAATGCTGATGACTTGAAATAGACTTTATTTGCTCATTTATATTATCAATTGCAATGAAATAGACGCACTCATTATGATGTTTTCTGTGTTTTCATTACAGGAGACTTTGCTGATAAGTGATAGCATACACAGAATGCAATGGTTCCCTGTTTCTGTATTATATATCAACTGCTTTCATTCTGTATTCAGAGTACTTTTTCATATTCTGCAGCAATGTAGGGCACACATCACAATTGTGTCATATTAATTACAAGCAACAAATACAGTTTGTTGTATGTTTAGAAGTAGATAATTTGCTAGTCCGAGATGAACAGACCATCAAATGGGGAGTTAATAATTACTACAGTATCGTAGTACTGCAATAATCAGCGGTTCATAAACAGCCATTGGTAAAGAACGAATAACTTATGTAACTTCCGCATTGCGGAAATAAACACGATTTGACGATACGTGAAATAATAACGAAAGGTCTGTGGAGAAAAATATGTAATTATAACATTTTATAATACGTTGATCATATTGGTGCCCTATCATGTTGGAACACATTGAGTTACTTATGATACAAATCAAAGGACAAAGTTACTGATGTTGTCAAGTTTTTATTTCGAGGAAAACTAATACTCGATATGCTATTATGTTTCTATGTTTACACTTATAAATTAAACAATTATAGTCGAATATGCTATCACTATTATTATTGTGAAATAATGTTTTAAACTTACATGTAATTATTTCTACACTGACATGTGTACATATAGTAATTAGGTAGTAAGTATTTGACATTATATTAAAGTCAACTTAAAGAAATGATATTTGAAACGGATATGATGTTACCCAGCATTGAACTGCTTTCCTAGTAACCCAATAATTTATTTCCTTGTGATACAATAGTTGAATGGTAGCAAGCAAATACGACATAAATCATCATAACACAGCTATTAAACACGTTCTCTTTATCTTCGGCAAAGGGAAGTTCTGATCTAATTGTGTATGTAACAAAGCAACCACACTCATAATGGGCTTCTCACGTCAAAATGCAGTGATATGAAAACTTCTTTACGTTGTGCTCAGCTTTTTTGTCAAGTACAACAGCAAATACATTGTTCGGTATGTGAGTTCTCATGTACCACGACCTTGCCGTGGTAGCAGTTGATTCTTAGTAACCTAAATTAGTCATTTTAAAATATGATTGTTATGCTACCACAACAATTGCTACAGAATATCAGTTAGGAATGTTAGTGTAAAAGTACGTCAATAGGCATATCCGACAACTTTAAAAAACACAAGCTAAAAAATACCGAAAAAAACAAAATAAACATAAACATTAAAAATGGCACAAGGGTGAGCTCATTCATTGCACAATGGCATCCAAATCATACTTCTATTCTTCTAAATGAAAATTGGAATCATTTGTCACATTCCAATAGCCCTTTACTCTCGCGCAATAAAGTTTACTCTAGTTTTTAATGTGAATATTACATAGGTCATCGAAAACGGTTGTAAACAATCTTATTTTTGCATATGAATAGATTTATGAGGTTTGAACTTTGGTTGTCTGTCCCTACTTATTTCCCATGTGACCTTCGAATGGCTTGTGTATTGCTTTCAGCCAGTACTGTGTTTTACTGTGTAGTGGGTGGTTGTGACATACTCCAATATGCATACAATCGATATAACCCACAAGCTGAGTAATACAATTTCAGAAAGTCCGCAACATAGAAACATCAACATGGCCGAACACGGATTACGTTACTGTATTTAATATAAATGAATACATTTCGTCTGGCACAACAACCTTTAAATATGCCGTTCGTTAACATACGCTTTTGTTATTTATTACTATGTTCTATTGATTAATGTTAATTATTGATTTTTTTCAATGTTGTCATCAAAATTGTAATTTTTTTTATATATTCCAAAATGACAACTTTGCAACAAAACATATGCACCAACAGAACAAAAGAAATTGTGTATCAAAAAAATTAAGTGCAAAATTTGAATTGTGCCTACAACTGAATGTAATACAACTTCATTCTCGTCGTCATTCGAGTAAAAAAAATAATCTTTTTGAAGCCAAACCCTGCCTTGGAAAGTATCTACTATTTTTTCGTAATTGTGATTTTGTACGCATGACAGTCGGACAAACACATACGACTCACTGTCCACGTCTGAGTAAGTTTCGCTCTTTTCGTGAGTCGACGATCTCCATCCTGTCGGCTAGCTATACATGGGTTGAAAGACGGTTTCATTCGAGACTTACATTCGCGGTTGGAGCCCCCCTTGTTAAATGGTGGTGAGTCGTGGTCAACAACCTTGCACCGTTCACGTAATCGAATGGGAACGTCTATCGCTGAAACCCCTTGAAATGTACTAATTGTTAAGGTCAAGCGAACCATGAAATGTCATCCAGTCGTCTCTGTAACTTGTTTCTTGTTACTCGTTTTAGAGAAAGCGTATATTAATATCAAAATTACTGATTCCATGCCCATATCTATACCGCAAAATAAGAATCCCGTTTCAAAAGACAACACAACCTGAATTGTTTTAAACGAATTTTGTTTTAAAAAGATTTTGTTTATTGTATGCAGTTTTATGTTCAACCAATATAGTGATTCGTTAATTAAGTTTGGAAAGTTAAAGTTTAATATACAAAAACAGTTTGTGAATGATTGAATATATCGGTGAGGTCACACTACCAATCACATTTTGAATTGATGTCTGACAATTAAAAGCCATTACTCCAAACATAATGTTGTGCTCTCCTATAATTCAGATGATTTTGGTGTATTAATTTATTCTAAAATGTATTTTAAATGACAGGAGATTTTGACTAAAATATTATATTAACGAGCTAGTTAAATAGAATACATGTGTGATTCGTCAAGGAACTTCATTGTTTGGGTCACACGGTTTACACCAAAAACTGTGGTAGCGATAGTAACCTAAATGCCTAACCGAGACATGAATTATGAGCATCTTGAATGAATATCAAATAATTACAGGACACGAACCTTGCTTAACAGCCGTTGCCTAAACAAAAGTGACCTCTGTGACCTGTGCTGCGTGATAAACTCAAAAAGCACAGAACATTCAGTGCGTACAATATTGACATTATAATTAGATTTGATTGAATGCGTCGGCGATATACACGATCGAAAGACAGGTCGAGTGGTCGTATTGTGTGAAAAGACGATAGACGTCAAAGATCTACAGTCAGGCAGCGTGCTTCTTCTAAACAAACGATATGCGGGTGTCTGTTTGCGTGCGAATTTGTATGCATGTATGTGTGTATGTCTGTGCGTGCGTATGTACATCTGTGCCTGTGTCTAAGCGTGCGTGTGTGTCTTTGTCTAGATTGCCACCAGAAATGCCGCAGTTTTCTATACCGGATTATTATGAATTATTAATACTAATACAACTTACACTACACATTATCCGCTTTCACTTTTGTACATCGAATAAGCTATAGGATGGGTTATTGATCCTAAATTGATGGTATACAATGTTTGTAAAACAAATACTGTAGACTTCGAATACCGCATTTCATTGATATGTTCTGTTTCAATTCATTACTCGCTCAGACATAAGACTATCATATTAGAATATCCTAGGTTCAACAAACTCCAAAAAATAAATAAAAATAAATTCCTGCAATCATCAACCACCCTAAACAATACATGTACATTTATATAAAAAGTGTTACAGGATGGTAACTCCATGTAAATGATGTGCTTTTCTGTAATTCATTAGATTCCGTGTATTAATATATGTTATCATGTATTGTACATGGCCAGAGGTTTTGGATTTCAATACATTGTTATATTAATGAGATAGATAAATATAATTAATTTATTACTCGTCAAAAAATTTCATTGTTTGAATCATACACCGAAAAACTGCGGTGGCGATATTAACCCAGATGCCAAACTCAGCTCTGAAATACAAGCATCTGTTTTGCATATCAAAAGCTTGTAGGACATAAACCTTTCTTATCAACTATTACTCCAAACATGGGTGACCTTTATGATAACCCTTACTGCGTGGTACATTCCATGGCACTTATCAATCTAACAGTGGGTAAAATATTGGCATTATGTATACACTTGACACTGCACTTAGATGCGTCGGCAGCATACGCCGATCGGATGACAGGTTATAGTGGTTGTATTGTGTGTAAATATGACAGATTTTAGAGAACTACAGTAGTTACGGAGCGAGTGTTCAAAGTTGTTTAAAATTGTAATGTATTTTATATGCTTTGCATATGTCGCTATGGATCTCAAATCGACCAAGATGCAACCCGACGACTATAGCGCTTTAATTCCCTTCTTATGCGTTGCAAACACATGTACGATTTACAGTAAGCAACAATATCAATCATAACTCAGTCGATGCGTATGTAGTCAAAGCGGGAGTCTGATCTTGCCACATAACTATTTTACATGTAGCTAGCATGAAATCTATCACAGTGTTACCAGCCTTGGGACTCTCGAACTAGGACACTTGATATGGAGTGAAGACATTCCAGGTTGGGGAAATTAACATGCTACCAGCCTTGGATACAATCAAACGATACCAAGCCATACATCAGGGCGATCGTCAAATTTTTCAATTGTCTTGATGTTTTATTAGTTTGATACTGATCGTGAGTTCTCCATTAACGGACGCTCAATACTACTATACCCGCAATATGCCAATTACAATTATATTTACATATCGGCGAGACTGCATGGCCAATCTAATTAAATTACGAATTCATTCTCCGTCGTCGTCATGTATAAAATGCCGTAGCCGTGAGGCTGTCACGTGACAGCGAACTTGTGCCAACATATTATACTCTATCGATTATAACCTTTAAAATAAGTGGCGTATGTTATAACTACTACCGTACCGTGTGTCCTGAATGAATCCCTCAACGAGAGCGCAAACAGAAAAGGCTTACTACTTTGTGAGAACAATGTCAAGATGAAAAATTTGATAAGAAAATGACAAAACACTTTCACTGTTAACTGCTGCGTCCTGTGTTTCCTCCTTCACAAAACAACTGCACAATTTCAAAGTATCAAGTATCACTACAATTTTGAAGAATCCGTGATTATATATACATTGTTATATCTGTG